CTCAAAAATCACGACACATGGACCTTTAATGAATTATAGTAATACTTTTAATATACTAGGCATCATGCATCAACATGACCAAAATGTTATCCTTCTGTAGAGGAAGAATTCTTACTCCCAATCCAGTGTATCCATTTTTACAAGAACAGACTTTGGTAGAGCGGGCGCTTTATCAACCGCGGCCTAGGCTTGTTTCCCTGTTTGCCGGCCCAGTCACATTCTGTTCCCTATGCGGGGATGCTCTGTTTTCCTTCTCCCAGCACTGAAAGAGCTTTTTCATTTGGGCCAACACCAGCCCGTTCACCCTTTTTTTGGAGAGGCAGTTGCTTCTCCAAACCCAGAAGACCGAAATAGACGTAGACTGTGTTTGTTCAAAGCAGAGTTGGGACAAGAACCTCATCCCCAAAAGTGACTTTTCCCTTCCATTTAAAACGGGTTTGAGATTCTGAGTCATGAGCGCCCATTTGGCAGGGAGATGGTGGCAGGTCCCTGCCAAACACAGCCTTTGAGGACAGCTGACTGCTCTAGACAGGCTGAGTCATGGTGAGCTGAGCTTGCAGGATGGGCTTTCCTGTCAAGCCACCTGCTCAGGAGGGTCCTGGAGATCATTTAAAGGGTCCACGGACATGTCCCCGCTCTCACTGGCAGCACTTGAAATTGGAGCTGCGACCGTGAGCTGGAGCTCCCATGATGTAGCTTTCAATTCCAGCTGAAATTAAAGCTGCTTTTGGGTCACGCCTAGGAATTTGCTGTTTTGTCTTGTAAATACTTGCTTTTGACAGTTATCCAGGCCAAGCATTGCCCAGATCTATTTTCTGAGATGATTTTCAACCCAAGCTTTGCTTTAAATGCTCTATTGTCTTCCAGTGGCCAGGATTACTTCTCTTTCTCCTAACATTGGTTCTACAAACACACACACATCTTTTATACAATGACAGCATTCTATATAGTGTCTTTCATAGAACAACTATGATAACAAAATACTTCGTATGCCAAGTAAGTAGCCAAGGTAAGAAAGATTACAAACACCAGCACTGGGTCCCTTTGTTTGGGGCTGTCTATAGCCTGAAAGCTTGGTGGAAAGCTTCAAACTAACACAGTGAGTCTGATTCTTAAAAATTAAAGCAAATGTTCTGGCAGGGATATTTCCAATTCACAGAAAATAGCACAGTGGGGAATCGGGGTGGGAAAGAAGTAACTAAAACTTGGAATTTGGTGTCTAGTGCCCTCAATTTAGGAATGAAAGCACCCACACAATGGTACAACACCCGTTTGGTACTTCCTTTCTAATGAAAGGGTCATTTGTGTCTTGAGCTGGTGGTGATGACCAACTTTTGGAAGCTTAACCTCAACTAGGAGAAAGAGCAAAGGAAACGGAAAGACTTATTCTGTCGTTTCCTGCATGTGGAGTTTTCAGTGCTTTCAGATACCTTAAAGGTGACCTAATTGATAACAATGCTTTATTTAGATAGCATTCGGGAGGGGAAATGCAGAGCAGGAAAGAGTGCTAGCCTAGCATTTACTGGGGCCTACTAGGATTTCATATGCTTTACTCCATTTCATTTGCCTACCCCATTTCACAGGCAAAGAAAATGAGGTCAAGAGGGCTCACATGACTTGTCCACAATCAGTTAGGTACAGAGATGGGGCCTGAAATTAGGCCCGCTCTTCCCACAGCACCCCTTAACAAGATCCTTCGAGTTCCCCTCCTGTGACTGGCTCTGGGTGGAGCTGGTAAGGTCAGGCCAAGGGGTTAGCAAGCGAGTGGCCAGCACAGGTGAACTCCAGGAAGACGTCCACAGGAGGCTCAGCTTTTCCCAGTTTTTCTCCCTTCCCCGAACTCCCTACAGCTGTTCCTGTCTTTCCTCTTTTCACACCCATATCACTGTATGGGTTCTCAGTGTGAAAACATTGGTTTTGTAATGTAACTGTAAGGTCTTACCTTTTACCATATCAAAATGTGCAAAGGGCTTGGCACGTAGTAAATGCTCCAAAATGTAATTTTTGCTATTCCCAGTGTATCGCTGCATACTTCGTCACCGTGCAAACTCATTTCATGGCCTGCAGTATTGGGTTCAGTCGGCGTCGTAATACGGGAAAGTGCACTGCTTGTGACTTGTTATACCCCAGAGACGACAAGCTATTTTCCTCCTTCCACATCTGATGAAGATAGCATGTGTTTGGGTTCAGGCTTTAAAGGCTGAAGCAAAATCTCTGTTGTGGAATGTCAGCGCTCACATGCCTAAGTTTAGGTCTGAGGGGTGTGTGTGATGTTCAGAATAAGGAAGCAGAGGGTCCGGTGAACTGCTGGAGACAACAGCAAGTGTGGGCGCCCACTATTTTTAATTCAATTGCTTCCTAATAAATGTTTACCCCCTTTAAGAAAGTATGTAGATAACTAGCCATGAGTTGTTACTTAAATATTTGTCATACTTGCTTGTTTTGCTCTTAAAAATACCTCATCAGCTTACTTTTTAATAGTCTCCCTATTTTGCCAGACTGAATTTGGGTATCCCTATTTTTGATTAAAGCGGGTCGTTTGCCCACTCATTCACCCATGCTCTCTCTTTCCCTGCTCTTTACAATGACTGTCACCTCTGCTATGACACAGGGGCTGGGTGCGGGAGGCACTGTGGACTGAGGCATTCAGCTTTTGATTAATGAGTCCAGGGCCTTCTCACCCTTGAGACTTTAATTAGCCAAGCTGCAGAGCTGAAATCTTTTCATTATGAAAGCTAAGGCTGGATTTAGCAAAAGGAATGGGGACCAGAATAGGGGAGAAAGGGGTTTTTTGAGTGGATAAATCAACAAACCATTGCTACACTCATTCAGACCTGTTTTGGGATGGTTTTGGCCTAAATACACTTAATAGTTTTGTAGGCAGGCCTTGTCATGTTATTTTTTTCCCTCTTGTGATTTCCAGATCGTACTGAAGCTGGTGAACCACATTATTCTAGACAACAAGGGCATTCCTTGTGGATCATGTGGGACCAGAAACCCTTTTAATGTCAGTGTCCCTGGGGAGAGGACAGGGGGACAGGAAACCAAAGCAGCATTATTCTCTGCCCCAAAAGCAGGACAGCAGATGCAATGCAGTGAGTGCAGTCTCGATTCTTCCAAATGAGGATAAATGCTCTTTGCTTCTCAGCAGGAACCAGGCAAAGAGAAGACATCAGTCTACTGCTGTCAGGGAAGCACCATGTGGGCAGTAAATTTGTTTACAGTAAGGGGGTCGGGTGGGTTGATGAAACAGAAATGGGACAGAATTTCTTAAGAGAAGCAAGATGACCAGGCCCAGGTACCCTAAGGCCACGCAGAATGGGCAGCTGTGCCCAAGAGGCAGGTGGGGCAGCAGTTATGACTGTACCATTGTGGTCCCTGAGGCTTAGGCAGTCCTAGTGGGAGACAGAAGGCCTGCATTAAATGCCTTTGAGTAGGAAAGGCTGCCTGCATCCTCATAGCCAATCAAGTCAGTGTAGCTCCCTTTCCTCTACTTAGGCTGTGAGACAAAGGAGGAGAAAAGCTACCTTAAGGCTTGCTGGCACCTCCTTTCCAAGCTCATCCCGATGGAAGGCAGATGTCACTGAAATAGCGTTTACTCACCCATCACCAGGATAGGGGCCCCACAGTGACCGCAGCCTTCTCTGGGCGCCTCAGTGACCCATCTCCCGGGGCTGAGTTCTGCCATTGGTTCTTGATCCCGTCTTGCTGACTCACCTTGATCTCAGGGTCTAGGGTCTGTCTCATTCAGTGATGGAGCTCTGTTTCTCTGGATGCAGTTGTCTCCTGGGGGACTCCTGGGCTTGCCTGACTCGAGGTAGCACTCACCTGGGATTCCCCAAGGCTGTGCTCTGCACCTCTGATGAGAATCTCACTGTAACTGTTCAGAAGCCCAGGGGGTCATCTGGTATCAAAAGTCCCCGGGAACCTCGTCTCCCAGCCCCTGCCTGTAACGACTGCGTGGATCTTGTCCCTTGCTCCTCGTTGTCCCCGCTCTCCTTGCTCAGGAGGGATCCCGGTCCTCAGATATGACCACCCAAGGGCCGAGGACAGCAATGGGCATACAAAATGATATGACAGTTCCTGCCCTCCAGTTTTAATCTAGTTGAGAAGACAGAACCTATATAGGTACAGTGTAAAGTATATTTTAAAGTGAGAAAAAAAATAGGTGTACATTTTAAAAAGCAACAGAAAGATCATACTAAAGTGCACGATTAGTTGCCAAATGCATTTTGCATACAGTTGCTGTAGGAACTTAGGGTGGTTAGGAAGTGCTGAACTTGAACTTCTGATCTGGGAAAAGAACTATAAATCAATTTTTATGGGCTAAAAAGAGAGAGTGGGAAGGAAAGTGTTATAGGCTGAATTGTGTCCCTCTAAATTTCATATTTTGAAATCCTAACCCCGAGGACTTCAGAATGTGGCTGTGTTTGGAGATCCGGTCTCTGCAGAGGTGACTGAAGTTAAATGAGGTCATTAGATGGGCCTTCATCCAATCTGACTGGTGTCCTCACAAGAAGAAGAGATTACGACACAGACATATGGGAGGGAAGCTGATATGAAAACACAGGGAGAAGGCAGCCATCTGCAAGCCAAAGAGAGAGGCCTCAGAGGAAATAGCCCCGACAACACCTTGATTTCAGACTTCCAGACTCCAGCATTGTGAGAGAATAAGTGTCTGTCGTTTAAGCCACCCAACCTGTGGTACTTTGCTATGACAGCCTGAGCACAGGGAGATTGCAGATGCATTGAGCTATGCCAGCAGAAGCAGGGGCACATTTGGGAGGGAGGACCCTTCGCTTGGAGTAGAAAGGCTCCTGGTGCAAGGGTTTGATAAGAGGATAGAGCGAGCCTGTGAACAAGTTCCAGGAGCAGATGGGCTGGCGAGACAGAGACAGGGAGCCCTGAGCACCAGGAAAGAAGGAACGCCTTTCACCCAGCTGAGTTCAGCTTAGGCTCCACCTTCTGGCTGATTAATCATTGCTTCATGCTAACATGAGACCAAGTTTACTTTACGAGATTAATCAGGGCTTTGAAGGACTTAAGGGAAAGTGAAACGGAAAAAAACACAAACCCCACAAAGTCAAGAGACAAAGGATGAGTAAGAAGAGAAAGAGAAGGTGACTTTGTGAGGCTTTAAAAACTGTCAGAGGGTTTTAAATTGTCAGTGGGTGAGGGGTGGCAGCTGTAAGAAGACGGACACGTCTGGGGGAGGGGACAGACACCACTTCACTCCTGACTACCAGCTCTTTCTCAAACGTGACTTACACATACGTGTGTGCCCTTCATTCGGCATTAATAGTATAAGAATAGAAAGACAGCAATGTGGATAGAGGTTAAAAGTCCTTGGGGAGGGCCTTGAGGGTGCCCGTACCCTGCGGGCCTGTCTCCTGCTCTGGGCTCCCTGGAGACTGCGAGGGCCAAGCTCTCAGTGCCCCGCTGCCCGGCCTGATGCCTGATGTGGGCAGGGGACGGAGGTGCCGAGGGAAGCCCCACCTTGTCACCCACGGCTATGCGTGGAACACTGTATCTCACGGGACCTGGCACCCACTGGAGTAAGGACACTCACCCCACCGTTGGTCATTGCCTGTAAATTTGGCAAGACGTGGAGGGTGGAATGATGTACAGAGAGGAAGGGAAAAGGACAGGAGCTGGAGAGAAGAAAGGAAAAGGATCAAGCCAGACAGGGGACAGGAGCAGGGAAGGGAAGCTGCCACACAGTGGTGGCCCAAGCCTTCCTTTCTCTGCCCAGTGGAGGCCATGGTGCCATAACTGGCCTCGATCCTTCCAGGTCTTTCCATATCAGTTCTGCATCCGTCACCATTTCAGACCCCAGCCCGAGCTGGTCGGAAAGTCTAATTCCTCAACGCTGCAGACACCCTATCCTGCCCCAGGCCACGGGAACTGCACACCTAGCTCCCCACCGAGAACGCCTCGCTCTCCCTCATTGCCTGTCAGCACCGGGGAGAGGAGGTACCCCCACACACACCCCGACAAAGTGTTAGCTCAGAGAAATAAGGCTTTGTCATCCCAGGGGAGGTTAACTACGTTTTTCCCATAGTAATTCCATTTCGAGTCTACTTAGGCAATTTCAGACTTAAACAAAAAGGAAAAGAAGAAGAAAAAGGTGGAGGAGAAGAAACCTGTTAGAAACCAGTATTTGTCTTTGGGACAACGCCCTGACGTCCCTCCCAGATGTCTGCAGCCTGCTGATCCCCACAGGCTTTCAGGCCACACTTGGCCCCTCGGGAAGGCCTGACCACAGTGCCCTGCACTTGGGCCTTGGAGGGTCTCCCCTGGAGCTCACCACAAAACAGGGCATCAAAAGAGGCGCTGGAGAGAAGGGACACTGTGGTCAGGAGGCCTTCCCGAGGGGTTGAGTGTGGCTGGAAAGCCTGTGGGGATCAGCAGGGGCCTGGGAGGGACTTCACATGGACTCTGGTCAAATGGTACCTGTCAGCTGTGTTTGCTCTCAGAGCCAGCCAGGCAGTGCTGGGGGGGATATTGCCAATGAGGTAAAGAGCCGAGAGACTCCGTGGACTCCCCTGGGCTCTGCTGACCTGCCTGTTCTACAGAATCCAACAGTGGGAGGGGGTGGTGCTGGCTTCCCTCTTATCCTGATGCCTCTAGAAAATCACAGTGATATCCTAAAGTGTTCCTTTTGGGTGGACAGGTCGCACCCTTGAATATTGTCGCTTTATCTAACAATTCATGCAGGTTGGGAACACTAATGTAGTCAAGTGGGGATGTGTCGATGGCATATTTAAAAACAGATGCTTGCGTGTTGAACACCAAAACCCACTGCTTAGCATTATTCGCACTAGACTGTAAGCTAGTGATACGTAGATCAGGGATGGCAAATTATGGCTCATGGCGAAATCTGGCCCATGCCTGTGAGCTAAGGATGGTGTCTCCAGTTTTAGAGGGTTGTCAAAAAAAAAAAATTAAACAAAGAAGAATTTGTGACAGAAAGCACGTGGCTCACAATGCCTAAAATATTTACTATCTTGCCATTTACAGGAAAAGTTTGTCACCCGCTGGTATACATTAAATAGATCTTTATTCTTTGGTTCATCTGGAAACACCCTTCGTCTCCTCCATTTATAACAAAGTCTCTTGGAAGAATGCATTTTTGACTTGCAACAAATGAGCTTGGAACACGCCCAGCTCATAAGCTGGGGACTGTCTGTGCTTCTCGGTCTTTTTCATGCCAAGTGCATTCTGGTGCAGGAGAGGAAGTGAGAGGCTTGCTGATTGGCGGTCGCGATCAGGGTGTATACAGGGACCCTCAGGCTCCTTGGGAAAGGAGTGTCTTGAAACAACCTTTGGGACCTTTGCATTCCTGAGGTCCTTAAGGTGTCAGTCACTGCTGGCTTTGCTTTGTGTGTCACCCTTCGTGCAAGCCAAGAGCCCCCTGCCCTGCTGTTTCCTTAGCTCGCCTGCTGCCTATCTAGGGAGTGAGCAGAATGGCATCATCTTGTCTTTTAACCAATGAGAGAAGCATAGACAAACAAGCGCTGGGCTCCTAGAACAAACTTGTACTGCCCAGTGTCTGGCTGAGCTGGAGCAGGAGAGAAGGTGCAAATCAAGCTGAAAATATGGATCAGCAAGGAAGGAATAAAATATGCAAGTCAGGGTCTCAAGAAACACAGTGGACCTTGGGGATATTGAAGGCTCATGGAAAAAGGAGTCAGAGGCTGGCTTTGGGGCTATTCAAAGAAATCCTTAAACCTCTCCCCATCCACCTTGTTTCTTCATATGCTAAGCGCAGAGAATCTGTATTATGGAATAATAATCAGGAATGACTTGAGACGAGCAGAAGTACTTTGACAAGCATGAAGTATTGGATAAACAGAAGGGTGTATTAAACTAACGTTGGGATTCTCTGTGTTCACGTCTTTAATATTGCATCTAAATGCACCTACTATATTCAGGCTTTTTAATAGTGCCTTTATTATTATTTTTTTCTCCAAATACAGTACAAATTTGCTCTTAGATTTTTTTTTTACCTAATTAAGTTTGAATTCCTCATAATTTAGCAATAATCGCCTCCAGCGTATGCCGTGGCGGTGTCGTCTATGATAGGGACAGAAAGTAATGTAATAACTCCTGAGCCACACGAAAAGGAAAGACAACTACTTTGTCTTTGGAAACCACTAAGCATCAGCTTTAGGGCAGTTCCTTGCTCATCAGTTGCAGCAACATATTACTGAACCATCCTTCCTGCCTTTGAGCAGTGTCCGTGGTTAAGTCTTCCTTCTCTTTCTCAACAGCCCCCACAGAGCAGATAAGGTCCATCCTCAGGCCCCCTGACATTTGGGTCTGGGGGAGCGTGAATGAGGTAACGCTGATGGGAGCACTGGCCAGGGGCCGGGGATCCTCTGCTGAAATCCTGACTTGTTTTTGCCAGCCCCGTCCCCCAGTGGTCATCTCCACTCACTCATCTTGCAGGGACTTTGGAGGCCTGGAGGCCACTGCTGCCATTGCTTTTTGAAGATGGTGGACCCCGCAGCAGCCTGGGCTCAGCCCTGCTCCACAGCACAGTTTGTAGATAAGGAGCAGATGCAAACCGTTCCAACCGGGCTCCACTGGAGCTGTGTGCAGGTGGTTTCATGCTTAAAAGTCCTAGTAGTGTAAAAAGAAACCAGAGTAACAAGTGAGCATACTTCTGATGTTGTCTCCATAGTTACCACCTCTGCCTTCTTTTTCGTCCCCCTGTTCTTGCTTGCAGAGTTTACCTTCCATGCACTTGGGCTCCCTTCTCCCTTTGCTGATGAGCAGGGCTGTTTCCTTAATTAACTCAACAAGTACTCCCTTATGCAGAGGCAGCATCTCTTTTGGCAAGAGGACCTGAGCAGAACCAGCCCCAGAAACAAGTGAGAATGTGTGCCAAGCTGTGAGGAAGTAGCTGTAATTAAAGACTGAATAATTACCTTTCTAAGCAAATAGTTCCTAAAATGTTGTCACACCCAGGCCATAACCGTAAAACCTACTCAGTCAGGTCTACGGGATGATTCACTGTGTAGAGGCAGGGGAGCCAAGATGCTCAGGACGTAGAACTTTCATTTGTGAAAGGAAATCCAGGAGCATGGGGATGCCATCTACTAAGTTACCTAGGTCTGGGGCTACCTGGAAGTCAGCATTCTGAACCATGACCCCACCGCGACAGACATGACCCTCATGCGCTTAACACATACTCTCTGAGCGCTGTGTAATCCTGGTGAAATACCTATCATTCCTTCTTTCTTTCTCCAACTCAAAAAAAAAAATGTTGGAACACAGCTGAGAAGAGTGGTGTCGTATATGTTTTTATTTACTTTAAAAAGGGATCTACTTCCCGAAAGTGTGCTGATTAACTGTGCTTGGTAATCAACAACGTCAGCACACTACACAGTGTGTGTCGCATCCGCAGCTGTGCTGTGCTGTTGTAGGCCAATGTGGCCTCCTCTGCATTCTTGTATATGCCCATCTTCTCTCAATTTGATATAATTTGTCCTTCTTGCAAGTCCTGAATAACATTCCAGGCCATGATCACTAAGAAAGTGACGCAGTCTAATGGAATTGTGGGCACCAAACCCTTTCATTTATGACCTGCTCTTGGGTTTGGCTGGAATGAAGATTGGCAGCATATTAACTGAAGTTAATTAGAAGGCGAATCCCAAAGAAACAAAACATTAAAAAGTTTGGGTATGGTTAAGTATCCTCAGCATACCCGGTCCCAAGCGGGTGGGGGTGGGGGGTGGCTTTTACCCCCACTGTTTATGAGGCAGGGGTGATGTGAAAGAAAAAAAACAACAAAGACCTTTAGTGTTAGGGAGACCCAGGATTGAATCCCGGTTCCTTCTTGGCCTTGGGCCAGTCCTTAATCACTCTTCACTATCAGTTTTTATCTCTAAAAGATGCCTGGCACACAGCAGCACCTAACAAAAAAGCCTTAAGAAAATACTTATTTACCCAAATATCGCTGTCTACCATGGATGGATCAATTCAAGTAAGTGGTGAGAGAGCTGGAAGCTTTAGTATTTTGGAGAGTGTTAGCATACACTGATTGAGTGTTACAGGCAGAAGCCGTCTTGGATGAGCTACGACAGAGGCAAAATGAAAACTGTGACAAGTAAAATGCTTATATGAAATCCTTGCAAAAGCTTGGAAACATTTGTGGATAAAGAGATTCAAGGTCTCTCTTAATGCATGCAATTTGAATTGCAGAAGAAACTCAGATTTCGCCTGTCCCATAATGTCAAGTTGACTTTTTGTGATGTTGAGGCAATGCCAAAGCAACTGCTTTTTAGATGCATTAGCGAAGACATTTTGAGGACTGTTGCTCTGGGTAAATTCTTCAAACTCTAAATAGAAGCAGTAAACTTGTGAGTATAAATATGACAATCATTTGTTTAACTGTGACAATTTTAGATAGTTTTTGGCATGCTCAAAGGTACAGAGATTTTTGTGGATGAGTAAAAAATAACTTGTATATTGTTTATCCCACTTTGATGAAATCTTGGGTGACATTATTAATTTCTTGTAAAATTGGCATGTGTATACATAATATCGTGCTATGGGAAAGGAAAATAATGTTAAAGTTTGCCTCCCTGGAGGGAGTGGGGTTAGAGAAGAGTGTAGCGGACAATTATTTATGGATAGTTTTACATGAATACAATTGTCATGGCTTTTACTCTGATGGCGGAAAGATTCTTTAGTAGTTTATTTTGATTAGCAGTGGCATTCATGCTAGCATTCTGGGGATCTTAAGCTTTCTAATGTCTAACATTTAAATTTGTCCATAAAGGTGTTTAAAGATCATCTCAAACATGGAACCAGATTTTGGTGAAGAAAAACTAGTAGCATTCTTTCATGGGGGTGCTCTTCCTCTAAGGTGGGAGCCTGGCAAAAGAGATTTTTTTGTTTTTTAAATTCAGATACTGAAAGAACTTCTTTTCAGCAATGAAACGTATTGTTCCTATTAAGGCAGAAGAGAAGCGAGGTTTGCATATTCAAGTCCTTCCCTGGTACCTACATCCATAATAGGACACCCACATCTGGTAGAGGTTATCGGACAGGCAGACAGACAAAAAGAGACTAAAAATCCAGCCTACATCAAATGCCAGAATTCAAATGATGAGCACAAGGCAGAGTCTACCTGGTCAACAAGAAGACACCCTCCAGGAAGCAGTAATATTCTGTGTCCAAACACAGCAACAACCAAACTCAAATCCACATGCAAACTTACACTCCATGGCACTAGGCAAAGATATTAGGCTTTCAGAAGGATTTAAGGAAATTCTCATTTTGTTGCAAGGGAAGAAGGAAAAGATGATGGGGCCACTATCTTTGTCATCAAGGTTAAATAATGGCTCTATAACCTGCTTCAAAATTCTTAGAGAAAATTACCCAAATATGGGGAAAGAGGCTACCAAATTGGTCAGTCGTTTTAGACCAGTGATTCTAGTCAAGCATTATTCCAAAAACACAAATCTTATTTTAAATTCTTATTGTGGAATGTGAAAAATATTTTAATTTTTACATATAGTTACCACCTTCGTCTTTAGTATTATACTGAGTTATTAAGGTTTACCAAATATGTATTTGGCATACATAAAGTGAAAAATAGCATGTTTCTGTAGAAAGAGGAAATAGATGGATATAATGGGCTACTGGATCTTTTGCCAGAATAAATGGTTGTCTGTCAAAAACTCTTTGCAAACTCCTAATTTTGATGGGCTTTTGGTGATTAGTCAGTCAGTATCTTCCTAAGCTAAGCATGTGTAGCTCTCAAATTTCATGAAGGATGCACCTGGATCATAAGGCTCATCCCAACATGCTACAGGTGCACTGGGGACCTTGAACCTTGCTCATTATGTAATAGTGAAGCAGCTGAGGAAAAATGGAAGTCAAGGTGTGCCTTTCAAAACACTATACACTGTGAATGTTCACAATGGAGTTCTAGAAAAGTGTAAGTGATTTGCCAAGAAAGGCCTTACGAGGCCATGTCAAAAAAGTGTGGGGTAATTTTAAAGCTTCTACTTGAGCATGAAATTAACACCCACTCGCATCCTACCCCAACCACTTGATCTTTCAATATGCTCCACAGAAAGACTTCTCCCATCTGATCTTGGAACTGCTTGATGGAATTGTGTCCATAGTAGTTAAGTTGAAAAAAATGACCCTCATCTCTCCTGTCTTCTATTAGGAAAAGCCATCTTTCCACTGACTGATTCTTTCAACGCTCTCTAAAACCCAAGCATAGAGGATGTGTCTCCATAAGTTCAGAAACAGAATGAATGCCCCTCACCCTCATCCTTAGAAGGCATCAGGTACAGTATCCAGTCAGATTGCAGCAAAAGGTAAATCTCTGTCAAGGTTCCCCCAAGCTGATACAGTGGATGTATCAGAAGTGGTGGAGTTTAGAACTTGCTCTAAAAAAAAATGTGCGTGGATATCAGCCACCATCTTAAGACTCTTCCTCTCCCGGCCCTCTCCCCATAAATATCCAACGTGGCTGTCAGTAAGTGTAGCCTGAAAATAAATCCCCTCACTCCACCAAGAAATAGATCCAAACTTAGAGTGTGTGCTGAAAATATTCATGATGAAATCATAATCCTATATTTATAGTCTTTTGGATTGTGTATGAAATTCTGTTTCCCATGGTGGTTTTCGTTGAAAGGGCCAGTCATGGAGAAGGATGCCCGAGAGAACTTTGGCCTCAAGGAAGTGCTGTTTATCCTCATTTGGAACTGGGTGGTTGTGATGTCCTCCCTCCTCCCTGAGCTCTACCCATTGCCCAAGAGTTAGGCCTCCTCCCCCACCCCATTCCCAGATGGTCCCTGGTTTCAGGGTCCTGTCTCATCATCCAGGAAGAGTGAACTGGCCTTTCGAGTAGGAAGCAGAGTGGGTGCCTAAGAGTATCCCCCATTCCTTCTGACCTTTCCTGTCCTCTAGACTTCCTCCCCGTTTTCACTGAGGGAGATGGTGTGGATCTTAATTGTTGGAACTTGATGGATCTCTCCATGGCTGGGTGTCGAGGGCCCCATGCAGCAGCAGACCTGCAAAAAGCTTTTACTTCTCACCCGGGCTGTGGTGCAGGCTGATTGGTCTTTGGACACTGTAATGCTGGCCGATCCACGGGGCAGGGAAGAGAAAAACTTCCATTCACAGACCCCATCCGTCTTGGAGATCTTATAGAAGGTCTCTCCTGAGCCCACGGGGATGCGCACCAGGTCCTTGTGCGGCCCCTGCAGGGCGTGGCTGGGTGGGTGCAGGGTATAGCCCAGGGCACGTTTAGAAGACTGCTTCCTGTGGAGACACTGCATTCTCAGGACATTCTGAAAGGCCTTTTTAAACTCTTGACTGGAGCATGGGTATATAATGGGGTTGATGCAGCTGTTTAGGTATCCGAGCCAAAATGTTATTTTAAAAACTGTTTCTGAGGGCTTGAAATCAGGGAAGAAAGACCCTGGAAGAAAACACACAGATTCACACATGTTATTTGCAAGCCGACAGGCCAACTGGCTAGGAAAACAAGCAAACGACAAACATCCTTTTAAAAGTCTGTTTTAAAAGTTTCAAATGACTCCAAAAGGCATTTGAGTTTCTCCCATTTGACTGACTAGCCCCTGTGAATGTAACCCCTTTGTAATATCCTCAAAGACCATTCTCATTGGTCCCCATGTGCAGCGTTATTTATGGGTATGACCCAATGGGTAGGGTTGCAGTCGTTGTCAGTGGTAAAACATCCTTGAGGTTTGCTATGAATCTTTAAATAATGAAAACATGAAATTTAGGCTGAGTCTTCATATGTAAATTATTTTGCCTGAATTTAAAAATAAGTTGGAATTTATTCAAATAATCCATACAAACATGGGGTTATCTGAATATTCCCTTGGTTCTTTAAAGCAATGTCATATTGAGAGCCTTAATAATTATGAATTCCTTCTTCTCTCCTGAATATTCGAATTGTATATTTTAATGAGAATCCCAAATTTATAAAATGTTGGCTTTGCTAACTTTTGGCCAGTGATTTTCAATTGCATTGTAAGAATCCCCTCCATATGACGTTTTGACTTAAATTTTTTGAATTTGCAATGGTGCGAAAGTGACACGCATTCAGTAGAAACCACACTTTGAATTTTGAATTTTGATCTTTCCCTGGGCCAGTGATATGTGGTGTGGTCCTCTCTTGTGATGCTGGGCAGTGGCAGTGAGTGATTTTGCCCACCTGTAGGCTAATGTGAGTGTCCTGAACACATTTAAGGTAAGCTAAGCTAAGCTATGATGTTCAGTGCATTAGGTGTCGTAATGAATTTTTGATTTATGATTTTTTTCAACTTATGATGGGTTTATCAGGACGTAACCCATCGTAAGTTGAGGAGCATCTGCATTTTCCTTTGATGATGCCTTTTGATGTTACAGTATACTCCTCTGCTCTACATACTCCAATGACTGCCAAGTGCTTATAAAAAGCTTGTCATTTGCTTGACAGTCAGTGTCCTCCACAGAACTCAGCCTCATCTAGATTTCTAATATTCATAGTTTTACTTTAACCAGGCTTGACAAACTTTTCTCCAAGTCATTGCTCATTTTTTTTTTTTCTGTCCTCTCGAGTTGGGTCCCAAAGTCTAAAATGCCTTTCCCCATTTTCTTTACCTCCTCAGGTCTTATCTATTAATTGGCACAACAGGAATAAAGTTTCAGGCCCATTTACAGCTTATACTGTAACTATTACCTAGCTCTTGGCGGCAGAATGACAAACCCAGGGAACCTTAAAGCGGGAACAATCTCAGGGATTACTATTCAATTACTCAATTTTCAGGTCCAAAAACTGATGATTAAAGAGGTCGTCACAAACTTGATAGCTATAGTACCAATACAGTGATGAATAAAGGGATCTAGTCTGGTGTGCCTTATTCCCTGCACAACTTTTTTCTTTTGCTTCAGCCTCAGGCTTTGGTTTCATGTCTTTCTTCTTCTCTTCGCTCTGTGGACCCATCAGAACCATGACAAACTAATGGGTGTCCTTAGAGTCCACTCTAGCAAACAATGCCCTAAAATTTAGTGGAAGATTTCATAAATATAAACAAAGATTAAACTCAAATATTGCAAAGAAGACAAAATGGTACGATGGTCAGTGAGAGCATTTATTATCTTTGAAGCACAGTCCCTGCTAAGTTCACTGTTTCTCAAAGAAACTAACACACACACACACACACACACACACACACACACACACACACACACAGAGAGATAATGGTTATTAAGTGAGAAAGTATTATTCTTTAGCTCTAAAGCTTTTAACATTTTCCTATAATAGAATTTACTCATATTGAGTGCCTGGTTTGAGCCAGGCTCTGTGATAAGTACTTTACATACAATTTAATCATGATTAGCAACATTAAGAATTATGTGAATGTTATCAACATCCTTTTTCTACAAATGAGGAAATAGTGGTTTAATGAGGCTAAATAACTTCGCTAAGGTTACTCAGATAGATAGTTGCTGGTGGAGCTTGGATTTGAAATTAGACAGTCTGATTCCTGGGCCTATGTTCCTTTATGGAATCTCAAAATACATTAATAGGTTGCAACAATACATCTCTTGGGAAGGGAGATGGTGTATGGAGAGTGAAGCTGAGGGAAGCTAAATTGGAAAGACGCTTTTCAAATTTCATCTGAGAGGTGGAGAAAGTGGCCAAGGCCAAAAGGACTGGTGGTTTTGTGTGAATATAGTCAGTTCCAGAAAAAAATTCATCTTACGTTATGATGCCAACATGCTGACCCTTATTTCTTCCTAATACAATCCGAACATGATTAAAGGAACCCTCTTCACAAAGGCACACCTTGGCCTGGGCTTAATAAGAATATACGTGCAGGGCGTACCCAAAACTACCTTGTCTGAGAAGTTCACGCTTCTGTAAATCACCTAGAGAAGGGATTGCATTTCCCTTTTTTGAAGAATTTCAATTTAAAGAAAGGAGTATATGAATTATGAATGTGAATGCTAACAAAGTGATTTGGGATCCTTGGACTTTCCCCCAATTCCTTCAATGACACTCTTTCTGCTTCTAGAGCCCAGGTCTGCATTCATAAATCTCAACATTTCCTGTTAGTTTCTTCCCTCGCATCCCTCTTCCTGCCCTTGAGCTGCCCTTAATTCCAGGTCTGGCCGACCCAGAGCCAATCTCCCGGCCTCTTTCTACTCTGATCTTCCTGCTGTGTGTCTACAACTTCAGAAGTAGATACTGGTCTTTCCCTTCTATGTGCTCTGCTCAAAACACCTATTTCTTCACTGCAGAGTGAGAAAGGGAGGCGGTGAAAATGAATATACACTCAGGTTTGAATTTCAGACTGTCTCCGGCTTTAACCCTCTGGGAATATTGCCTTGGTAATCTAAGCAAATCTCTAGACGTTGGCTTTTCAGGCAGCAAGTGGGAGATTCTTCTGAACCACAGGCCTCCCCATAAATGTCATCATTTGGTTTATCCCATTAAGTGGCACCTGGCTATGTCCGAACCTAGCACGATACAGCCACTCTCAATCTGACAATTCCACAGGGACAGGTTACGGGATCCCTTTCTCCTGCTTGCAGTGTTTGTCCTCCCTTGGCGGTGATTCTGTTTCAGAGAGTGTTGGCTGGGGTTAGGAGAGGGACTCATAACTGTACTTCCCTCAGGAACTTTCCAAAAGGTGAGAAAAGACAGCAGTTTCTCTGAGGGGGCAGTTTCTCTCCATTTTTGTATTCTTCACGTCCTGAGATCTCTTTCTTCCCTTTATTTTTCCTCTCCTAGGAAGGGGAGATTGAACTGGGACCAGGCTTGGAAAAAGTCTGTTGCTGCCTGGTCTTAATCCAGGTCCCCTTATCCCACTCTCTCCTTTTCTGTCCAAACCTTCCAGCTCTGGCCCTTCTCTGAACTCTCCACTACTTCTATCCCCAGCCTCACTTTCTTCTAACATCACTTGCTTCTTGATGACGATGATGCTTTTTAGAATGGGAAGGCAACTGGATCATGCTTCTTGCTGTCCTCCACCTGTCAATGCCCCCACCCCAGTCACTAGGTTGTAAACACCGTCTGAGCAGGTACTGTGTCACTATGGCTTGCTCATGGAGATCCAGAACCCAGCACAATGCTGGCACCTCGAAGGCATCCTCCCAGTTTTTGCTGAGCGAATGGCCGGCTCCCTGACTGACTGACTGAATGAATGAATGAATGGCTCTCCTTGTCCTCTTCACGACTCTGCTGCACAGTGTGGCCTGGCTTCTCTGCCTGACAGCTGTAGTCCCGTACAGTAAAACCTTGGATTGCGAGTAACGTGGTTTGCGAGTATTCTGCAAAATGCACAAACATTTCTAATACATTTTAACATGGTAAACGAGGGATGTCTTGCAGTATGAGTAGTTTGTATCCAGAACGAATTATGCTTGCAAACCAAGGTATTACTGTATTTCTCTTCCTGCCGACATCTTCCTTCTGTTGTCTCTTTCCCCTTTTCTGCCCAGTTTTTGTTTAATGTTCTTGGTTCTCTCTATGATGGCATTTCACTTTTATTCCTCGCTGCATTATCTGGTATCCAATGCTCTCATTTCCCTCACCATGCTTCATAGAAAGAGCCAGACTTTTGAATTGTCCACAGGAGCATAGGCACTCCTACGTCTCTTGTCACTGAGGGTATGTCGTGCTCCTCTACAACCTCAGCCTAGACTCTGCTTCAAGGGTAGCAAATAGCTCCCGGCTTTTTCTGAAATGGCTTTTTCAGGCATTCCTGAACCCTTCGCGCTGCAGGTCAGGTCATCCTTTACATGTGAATCTGTGTAGTTTAATTCACGGGCTTTGGAAAACCCCCAAGCCCCCAAGGACTCTTCCCTTCATGGAGTTTCCTTCCACTATTTGATCTGCTGCAGAATCTCTGACTCTTTCCTTTCCAGGACCCTCCAAACATCCTCGTCAATGAAAACTTGGCCAGACTGAGATGGGCAGAGCATGAGTTTATCCCTGAACATCATCAACATCTTCACCATTGTCGAT